TTTTAATTAAAAATAATCCAGAAGTTCAAGAGTTAATAAATAATATTGAAGAATATACCCACCTGATAGATCAACCAGTTGTAAACAATGATGTGTTAACAGATGAGAGAATTATTGAAATGGTAAATTATGAGTTTCGTGATGATGATGATGATAATGAAACTGATGACAACAATGATGATGAACCACCACCACCTCCTCCAATTACTATTACTGAGGCCACAGAAGCATTGAAAAAAGTTATAAAATTTCAGGAAAGTCTCAAAGTCAGAAAAGGGTTTGATGAAAAAGAATTAAAGTTGCTATGAAAAAAATTTAAAGAATAGCATTATGAAAGAGAAAAAATAAGAAGCAACTTTCAATATTATCTTTTTTGGGTCTAAATGGTTGAAATGGTTATAACTTAGGTATTGTAAATTACTAAAGTGGTTAGAATTTAAAACAAAGAGAATTATATTTTTCAGTATTAAAGTTTTTTTTTGGCCTTTGAAGACCACTTTGAATTTCTTTATTTTTCACTCTAAATCGTATAATAATCTTACAGTTATAAATAATATTTTTTGATCATAATTCTGCTATATAAAATGATAACATTTTACCTTAAGAATAAATGTATTAATAGTCTACCAATCTGTTATTATAACTATAAGGCTATACAAACTAAAATGAGTTCTCATAATATAGAATTTTTGAAAATAACATGGCAACCCGATTTTTAATTTATTTTCAAAAAATTTTATATGTAAAAACATAAAATTTTTTAAAAAAACACACCTGGATGCTTAAAATTTTTGTAAAATTTGATATTGCCAGTTTATTAAGTTTGTATAGCCTAAATAGTAACAGTAATGATCAGCTTTTGTTTAATTGATCTGTAGCAAAAATCCAGTGGATCTGATATGATAAAATCAACTTTTCCAATACAGGCTAGTAGATTAGAAAACTATCCATTAGAATGTTAAATCACTAATTCTTAATACAAGAGCCTTTCAATTTGGATCAATACTTTCATTCAAACATCTGAAGATCCAGGCTAGCTTACAGTAAATCAGCATTTGGAGACAAAGCTTGTACTATTCCTGGTAAAGTTTTTTAGTTTTTAATTAACTATTAGTTTCTTGTCATTAGATAAACAACAAAAAAAAATAAAAAAAAAAGCTAGACTAATATAAAAAGTCTAGCTTAAAGAATGCTGATTGCCATGTGTTAAAACTTTTCAGATTGGCAATTCTAATCTCTTTGATATATTAGATCTACGTTTCTTTCTACTAGTCATAAATGATTTGCTTTGCTGTTAAGTATTTATATACGTCTGTATAGTATGCATATATAGTACATAATGATTACTGGAATTTTCAATATTATATGCGATCGATGGCTATGACTCACATCATACAATAATTTTTTTTGGGACAAATCTCTTACTATAAATATACAATTTTTTTTTTTACAGTTGTGCCAGATGCCGGTCTATTCGACCATTTTTTTTTTTTTTTTTTGAAAATTTTTTTTTTTTTTTTATTAAAGAAAAGAAA